GAAATCTGCGCAAAGCATTTGCTTGCTTATAGCGTCGTTTATGGACTGATTAACGGCAATGGTCTTAATAGGATATTTAGGAAATTATTTTCAGTGGACGGTCAGACACAATGAAATTAATATTTCGAAATTTCAGCGGAGACCGTTGTAGATTTGTCCATACCCGGACTCCAAACTGGTCGCCCCAAACTCCTTTCAAGATTTCTGGATCGGATAACACTGATATGCATTTTATAAGATTTTTTTCACTTTTTCGGAGGCAATATTGTTTTACTTACAAAAAAACGCATAAGAGTTCAGAATGTTCTGTCAATAAATGAATGCAGCATAGGTTGAGTAGGTAATATAAAGCTTGTCAAAAAGCGATGTTTTAAGATAAAAAAATATAACATTTGTTTGATGCAGAGCAGAGCGGCACAAAGGGATCACCTATTCCCGGCGTCTAGCTAGCTGTCTGTCAGTCTGTGCAGCTGTCCGTCTGTCACACCTTCTTTCTCAAGAACTGTAAGAGATATGGACTTAATATTTTGCACATTTATTGCTTCGCACAATGGCATCTGTAAATTGCCATGGTTATCGACCTCGTGGCCCTCGATATTGTCCTTTTACCAATTTTACTAAAAAATTGAAAATGACAATAAACAGCATATTTTTGACATTATAGAGGTATTATATATGCTTTTTAGCTTGTGCACTTATTGTCATGAAACGAAATGAATAATACCAGCGTGACAATTCACTTGGTTTGAACATATTTTATTGAACTAAATATATACCATGGGATTGGGCACAAGTTCTAAAAACCTCGCCCTCTCCCTATTCACTTGATCTTAACCTTTGACCTACTTTTCAAAGAATACCCCGCATTTATGAACTATCATGCTAGATTGTCTTCATTGTATGAAATACTAATTATGCTAGTAGCATACATGTATAAATAGCTGACCACTCTTTGATTGGGTTACATCTTCAAAGACGCTAAAAGCAAGCGACACATGCTTTCCTTTCCTTGGAACACTCTAGTTTTAATACTCTAGCGCTTTTACATAATTAACACCTGGTTATCAAGCTATGTCATCAAGCTAGTATAGCGGGCATTTTATAAACTAATCACATCTAGATCTTGATGATTTTATCTATAAGTTTAAAATTTATTCAAAGAATAAGGCAGTGCATGTTATTTAAAAGAATAATTTAAGAAAAAAAAATAATAGCGTCTTTATTGAAATGATTCATTAGATATACAGTAATCATATTTTGTCTTTACAACTGTGTAAAAATCTAAAGCATTTCATCAGCAAAAAGTTTAACCTTTTTTTATTATCTTCGTTATTTCTTAAAATATGAAATGAAAAATCAAGTTTTCTTCAAAGGTCATCCAAAGCCAAAATCAGATTCAACCTGAGGTTCATGGGCAACATTGCTCACCTGCGCACATTGGCCAGGTGAAAACACAAATTGGCTCAGTATTGAAATTTTTTTTTTGGTGGAAGGGGGACTTAAACTTTATATTACTTTAGAATGCCACCATATCAAAAACATGAATAAAGTTGCCGTAACATTGATGAAAAGCGAAAAAAAAGGATTTTTCTTACATATTACTTTGTAAAAAATTGATCTCCTAACTTGGTACCCCTAGGGTCATGATTTGAAAAACAAGTATATACTGACAAAACATCAGAAATACTCAAGCTGTAGAAAGTCAATTAAGAAGTATCATTATATCCTAAAATGGTTTTAAGATGAGGGCTATATATTGAGTTCAGTCCTCTGTTGAATAAACTACATGACTGTATACATGAAACAACATTCATATATTGAATTTTATTAGAAAAAAACATTATTAATCGTACTTAATTACTTTTTAAGATGAATTTACGTGACACACTTTCAGGAATATTTTATAGAGCATAGTAACGTTTGCGTTTCTTAATGAAATATTTTTATGTAGACATTTAGTATACATGCACTTCAAACTATATACGTTTTTGTATTTTTTGCTTAATGACGTACATCTCAATCAATACATACATCAATTAAGATAGCTTGCTAAAAGCCTGTAGAAAAATGTTTCAAAGTGAAAGGGGGGGGGGGCTCCAGGCTCAAAAAAATCCACGTGACTACAGGTTCATCCATCGTTGCAAACCACGAACAAAATGTACGATCCTCTCCTACTGCGGACCGTGGCTTGAGACGATGGGGTTCATCTATCTGAGCGGCATGTCCAATGCATATTCGGTACGAACCAAAAGAAGTATTTAATACGAGAATTTAACATTGATTTTGTGCTTTTATTTTACTGTCTCTCAAATTACACATCATTTGCAGGCCCGTGAAAAGCAATTTCAGTTGGGGGGTACAGCCATACATTTTCTGGCCATGCATTGTAGAATTTGTTAACGATGGGGTAACCTGCGTCACCTTTCGGAGTTTGCAATGGACTCGTCCAAGGATGCTTCGTCGGCGACTGTAAAAAGTTACCTGAGATTCATACGCAAAGGAAAGCGTGAAATCTCTGTATAGAAACTGTTGCTTCACTCATTGTTCATTTGCCATAGAAAATAATCCGCTATTTAACACTTAATATCTTTGAATATACAGACGTTTTCAAGATAAGCTTCATTTTTGTTTCTAGAAATATTTTTATGTACAAAAATAATATATTTTTGTAATTTTAAACTGAGTAATTCGATGACCTAGCATCGTTTTAGATAACTCAAGCCCCTCTAGGGCTTGAGTAAAAATGAACCTTCACTACATGAGTATTTTTTACATGTCAAATTGAAAAGGCATAACTTTTCTGTTCTGGAGAAGAGGATTTTTTCTTGTATATTCTTACGTAAAATCCGAACATTCATTGTGGCTACACCTTAAAGCCGGGGGTCAGGATTTGAACAATTGTGAATCTAAACCACCTGAGCATATATCCATTATAGTTCCAAATAAAAAAATCAGTAATCGTGGATTTATCGTTCTCCAGAACTTTTTAAAGATATTTAAATATATATTCCTATGTAGAATGTGCCCCCCCCCTACCCGCAAAAATTCTGCTTTGAACAATATTGAATCTACACTACTTGAGGATGCTTCCATATACATGTAAATATTACCAATCACTGAATAAGGGTTTTACTGTTCTTGAGAAAAGTATGTTTAAAGATTCTTCCTATATTATCTTATGTAAAACCTTGACCATCCATTGTGGTCCCACCCTACCCATTCATATTTTATGATTCATACTATTCAATTTTGGACTATTTAAAAGGAAGACATTACCAATTATAAGGTCTGAGTAGAGTTGTCACCCGAGGGCGCTTGCTATAATAGTTTTATTATCTTGAAGAATCTAAATTATGAATTAAATATTAAAGGTCAAGTACGGAAAAAATAGATTTAAAAATCATGTTGTCCATTCATTTAAAACAACTATTGAAAGGTTATGGTTGTGTTCGGTTTTTTTTCAAATCAGGTGTAGACCCAAAATACCTGTTCAAATATCGTTATTTTTAGACACGAATGACAGAGTAATCTCCCCTTGATATTACGTCATCAGAGACAATCAGTTGAATAACACAGCATATTTACGTAGATTTTAACTGCCAGATAGGTCATTGAAATGGCGAGTTTTGGCGATAGTGACGATAGTGACGGTGAAATACCCGAGATAGACCTAAGTTTGAAAATTAGTCCGTTTATGTTTGAACCAGTTGCCAAACTTAGGGCTTCTGTATCGTCCAATTCCGAGTCGGAATCAGAGGACAGCGATAATCATGATAATGACTCAGGTCAATCGGGAAATTCGTTACAGGGCCAATCCACAGAGAATTGGTAAATACTTTAGATAAAACATAGGAAAAATACCAGATTCATAATTATGATTTTACATAGAAATACGTAAAAAAAAATGTAAGCATGTAAATGATCTGTGTCTCGGGACAAAAAGTTCGTGCACGAACTCGGTGACGTTCACTTAAAAAGCGAAAGTAGTTCAGCTTACAGGTATGCTTGGGTCTTGATTTGTAAAATAATATGTATACATGTACCTTGTTGATATGTAAAAAATGTATAAATAATATTTATAAACCAAGACCCAAGTACCTGTGGTTCAGCTTATATAACTGTCAGTGTCAATAGTCTGTGAGATATTTAAAAAAATGTTAATAATTTTTAATTACATGTAGATCCATGAGATTTACCATTCAAAATTTGAATAATATAAGACAGGACCAAAGACGGGTCCAACTTAGGTCTATTTATTTATATTGGAAAAATTATGCTTGTGCTAGATAATATTGAATAAATGTGTTCCTATAATGGACAGGTTGAAGATAATTGTCTGTATATACAATATATATTTGTGTGTGTGTGTGAGAGAGAGAGAGAGAGAGAGGGAGAGAGAGAGAGAGAGAGAGAGAGAGAATAGCAGAAAACCTTGATAGTATAATTAGGATTTTTTATTTATCAAGATATTAACATATTAAACATAAGAATTTTAGAAAGTCAGGTATCTCTCATCAACAGGTGTCTTTGTTCAAATTGTGTCACGATGCCCACTAATGCTGAAAACAAATGTTGTCAACGCACCAATATTGTTGATGCTAAGATAGAGGAAGAATCCCTGCAATGCATAACTCAGCATGAAGGATTTATAGCAAACTGCTTAAATCGTTATGTTCTTGAAACTTCCTTCTACGAGTATATTCAGGAGAGTGGTCCATTAGAGGAAAATGAACATGTACATGAGTAAGTGTGTACAACTGTTTTAAAGTCCCATATTCAAATAAGACATCCATGCATTTTTAAGTTCAAACATTTTCAAAAACACTCATCCTCACTGCCAACATACCTTTTCTAAAATTATGAAATTAAATTAATTTTTAATATTCATCAAGACTTTGTTCTGTGGAACTATATTATCTTGTTTTTACTCAGGGTATACCGATATATTGCATACAGAAGGTTTGTAAGATGGATATACAAGAGACTTGGAAAAAAAAACAAGGAGAATTCTGCCCTCATGTGTAGTGACCAAAATAAGGTCCACCTTTCCCTCACAGCAGTATTGTGGATTTAAATACCCAGTTTGAATGACTGAACATTTGGATTGGGCCAAGCTTAAAAATATTTTTGTTTGTAGTTGCCGACCTATAATTTTTAGACTGGGTAGGTAGGTATTCTTTTTTTTTACTTTGAAAAAAAAAAAAATTTACTGACTTTTGTTAGAGAACATAAATTAGAGTTCTTCATAGGGCTTCTATACATCAATACGTTCCACTCTTGGTATAAACTACTGATTGATAAAGGAAAAAATTAAACATGAAACAGCTTCAATATCCTGAAAAATTTGAAAATAAAAATAATGTTACGAAATGACTAAAAAAAAAGTTTGGGTCGGGTGTATTTTCTGTGGGTTGGTAGGCAACTGCAAACAAACAATATTTTGTTTTGGGCCTTGGTAATAATCAAAAAAAAACTTTGTGAATTTGTACATTTTAAAATAAGACTTTATTAATTAAATCTCGAACGATGAGCTTCAACAACATGTTCCTTATTTATTCTTGGGCCGGAGTGTGCAAGCGGTGAAGGTCTTTCTCTGTCTTCCAAAGCAATAGCCCTTATTGCATCAGCAAAGGAACTGTGTGCTTCTCTGCGGAAAAGCAATTCCTCAAAGAGCTGGTCAACATAATCTACAATGCATAAATATGTTTTTCAACAAAAAAAGGAACGCATATTGTTTTACTAGTCAAAGAAATTTTAAAAATATACATGAAACAACTATTTTTTACATCATTGGATACCTGTGACCTATTTTAAAGGACAACATGGGGTTTTAAAACCCAAGTGTTGAATTATCTCCCTTGATTAAACATGTATATGAAAGTAGTGTTTTTCATGATTTCTTCTAAATCAGATGTCTATTTTCATTGATATTTTGGATTCAGAGAAACTTTTAACACTTCAATTAAACCCATATTTAAGATTTGATTGCAGTGTTAATACTGCAATGCCACGCCCAAACAAAGATGAATACAACCAGGCTAACGATGATACTAAATGGAGCTACGCAACAGGAAGTTGCAACTGTATTTGAAATAAATCAATGGGCTTTGCAACCTTAAAACTAACGTCTGAAGACCACTATCTGGCCATCCGCAGGTAACCACAACCAAGCAGGACCGTCAGACACCCCCCCCCCACCTTCATCACCTCATGCGATTCAGAACTTGCTGTAAAAACTGCTGCTATAATTGCTGGATGAAAAAAAATCAGCATAAAAATGCATAAATTGTTCAAATGAGACTGAAATTAGATGATATTCCCTCACGATATCCGTACATTGGAAACCCACTAGCATTGAGACTTTGCACAGTACATATTGTTATGCCCCTTGAATTTGGGGGCAATGAAAATGACCTCAACTTGACTTTTCAATTTGCAACATTGATTTTTATCACAACACACTCTTAAATCGCTGAAATAATATAAGGTTTAAACTGAAAACTTAGAATTTCATATTATTCTGATTATGCGTTTCTTTTTTTGTTCAGTATACATAACTCTTTTTCTTTTCATTCTGAATGTTAACTTGCATGTAGAGACAGAAGGATTGTAATTAAACATACCGAATGTTTGCTTCACTTTGACTTCTTTTGCCACTCCAGCGCCCTCTCTGTTCTTCGATCGCCAGTGACACACTGTATATTAACTCTCCATCTTGGTTGACTGCTTGATCTCTGTTAGCATTTTCATTGAAATGCATAGCTGCAATTTTCACTCTAAATTGAAAAATTTCATAATCTAGTAAATTGTGAAAATCTTGTAAATAAAAGGTTAGAAGAAAATGTTGTAATACTCATAAATAATACAACTATTATACATGGATATATAAATACATTTTGTTATACCCTTATAAATTATTAATTTATATATTATAAAAGAAAGCGCTGGGATTATATTCTACAATTTCATCTAATATAGTAAGCACTTTTCAAGGAACTTTGATATGTACAAGAAAGTCATGTATACTGTGTAGTACTATAACAATAGTTTCCAAAAGGGGTGATATGGATTCAGTGCAGTGATCCTGAAAGTTGGATCATTCATAAGTGTGAAATCTACAGTAAAACTTCGTGATAAACAGTGTTTATGAAAATAATATTGATGTAGATAAAATTATACCTTGCATCCATCTGTGCATGGAAGAAGTGCAATAGCTTGGGGGCAAAGTGACATAACACCTTATGGAATGCTTCTAGCCCAGAGGTCTGCTCAGCTGGGGAAATTTTTTTTTATGTCTGTTAATAGAAGTCTGCCTTTGATGATCTTTTCAAGTTCTTCATATGCCTTAGAACCTAAATATGAAGGCAGAATACTTATACCACACATTAAAAGAAACGAGTCATTTCAATATATAGGAGACACATCTAATTTTTACAGAGTTCTGTTTTCAATAGGAGTATACAAAGCAATATTCAAAAACTTTTGAAGAAGCAAAAAGTATATGCATATAAGCTAGGCCACAACAAAATAATTTATTGCCTGTCAGACCCAACCTCTAATGTAATATTTTGAATTCCCCACACTAAAAATATTTTGTGCTTATTTCTGTTTTATTTCTGCTCTTTTTTTGTTTTCAAATCTGCTTTCTCTACAAATCACAAACAATTAGAACAAATATAATTGTCCACTTAATTTTTATTATATGTACAGTGTAAAATTTGCCAACAAAAAGGTATTAATATTATTATGTAATCCATTTGCCATTCCTACTTTTATTCATCAGATGTTCGGCGAACAAGAAATTGAATTGGTGTGGCCTAGGTTTTACTTAGGAGGCAATCATTCTTTTCCATGCACTTTCAACTGATATTCAAATCATGTAAAAATATGTGTTTAACTTAAAATAAAACAGATATATGTTTATTTCTTAAACCTTGTCTGATCCAAGCTCGTTCTTCCATAATGCCATGCTCACACCGTGGAAATAAAGGTCCATGACTTTCATGCACATTGGTGACATGATTTAAGATGGATGTCCATTTCTGAAGGACTACTTCACCATCACCATTGCTGCTCATTGCGCACCAGTAAGTGTGGTTACTAATAGATCGAGCCCACAAACCAACTAATTCACACTTCTTCTTCTTGCCAACTGCCTCTAGCTTTTTGTATATTCCTGTAAATGAAGCAATCTTTTTGTTACTGGTACATTTTATTATCAAAATGCTTCTGTGAAATAAAATAACAAGTTTAAACATATGCGTCTGCGCCAGTCAATATACTGGTAAATGAATCATAAAGTAGTAAAACCCTTTCAATACCTTTAGCTATATGCCAACAGTCAAACCAATGGGTGATCTCTGGATGGTCTTCCCTCATGAATTTCTTAATCTGGGAATGTCTGTCAGTAACTAAGTGGGAAACTGGAATCTTCTCTTCTTCCATCTTAGCAAAACCTCTCTTCAGTCCTTCCAATGCCATAGCATAAGAATTCTTCACTTCAGTACTCGGTATTTTCGGGCGTCATCATAATGTGTAAATGTTATTCGGAACATTAAATTCGAGAGGGATTCAATCCCGAATTTTCTCTTCATGTTACATGTAACAGTAATTTCGATATACAATGTATCACAAGAAAGCTGTAACTAGTAGATTCTGATGGATACAGATTCACTTTTAACACACGATATAATCAACCAAATATCACAATATTGTTTTTACAAATCCTGAATTTTTTATAATGCAGAACATTTGTAAAATAGAGTTATCGGTCTTTGGTACTTCCGTCCCGGTTGATGCACATGAACAAAATTTACCCGATTTCATCGAAATATTTACAAATCGGGGGCATATAAAAATTAAATGGAAATGTGAAAAGGAAGAGGAATGTATAACAAATTTATTGATGTATGCATATCCCATGTTTTATACTGATTTAGATAGATAATCGAGCGAAGTTTGAGCGTGGTGAGGCGGATGACTAGAAAGAGTTGCAAGCCTTCTCTCTTTATATGTATCAGTGGAAAACGGCATTTTTAAAAACAGCTTGTAGAGACGAAAGAGTTGCATTTTTGATAACATATAGTGCATATTAGAATAGAAAAAGAGAAAAAAGATGACTTGAAGCCTGATTTAAAAAGAAAAAAAAAGGAAAAGGGGGGGGTCCATACCCCAAGTGCCTATGATCTGGATACATTTCCTTTGTCGCATATGAGAAAAACTCCCACATTTATGACTGGTTTCCTTGACTTTTCATTGAAAATGTCAGTTTAAAATACAGTTTTTCATCTTCCTTACATACAAATTATGTCCCGAAACACCTTATCTGACCAAGTTAATGTTGTAAAACATCAAAAAAGGAATTTATTTCTCAAGTTTGATAAATCTGTAGGCATCTTTCATTTACTAGATCTTGACCTTAATCTGATAACTGTAAATAGTTTTAATACCCCTCATTTATTAATTTAAAAATCTCTTGCCTTAAAATGAGCAATCCGATTTCTTTTCTCTACAGCTGCGGATTTTCTCTTGGGTGGTGGAGGGTCGCATGATGGGTTTATGCTGGCCAGGCCTAAATCCGAACTGTGTCTTTTTCTTGGATCGGTGTAATCAAAAATTGTGGGAATGGCTCCTGAAATCAACACTTTACATTTTGTATGGAAACCAATCGAATGCGCTAAATCATAGTTAAGTCTGAATTGGTCCTGGGTAAAATGGCGTTCGCATAATTTAGTGTAGTTGCTGGGGCTGAATTTGTCTCTCTTTAGCTTAGAAATCCATATCTTTCTGAACTTTGGGTCCTTTGGAAAAAGAAACATGCTCAACCCCTGCCCCGATTTAACGGTGCAGTTTAATGCAGCGCACTGCACCATAATTTATATACAGCCTATTAAACTGTAAACAATAAGTAAACTTCCGTGGTCGTTCTCTGCTTCCGAAGTCAAAAGTTGTCTCTGATGACGTAACAAGTTACGGGCGATAACTCTCGCTGCTGAAAAAAATATCGATCGCCCAGGTATACTTTGATACCACTGCCCTAGTCACGATAGGTGGTTTTCGACAAAACAACTACGAGAATTTTGATAATATGGTTCCGGCAGACAGTTAAATACATACTACTCTGCATTTACAAAAATCTCCGGACTTGACCTTTAAGAGTAGAAAATAGTTATCAAACCGCTTGTGTTCCCTTCTTCTGTTCTGATTCAACTCTTTCAAAATATGCAAATAGACAACTTTGACGTCATCGTTAGAATTTGTGGTTTACCGATCCAGCATATTTAGCAATTGAACAATTTAACTATAAATAAGAGTTTTCTCTGCTGAAACCACTGTAATTTCATTCAAAGGGCGGCAACACAGTTTTAACTGTGCATGCTTCCTTAAGCTATTTCATTATCATCTGAAGGGTGACAGCAGTTGAGGGAAATATGAAGTGACAGGTACTCAGTATTAGCAAGCGGGACGGATGAAGCTGATTTTTACACAGGTACTTGGGTTTTGAATATGTACATGTATGTACTCTACTGATATTTAAAAATAAGCATTTTTACATATCGATAAGGTACAGCTACATTTATAATTATAAATCAAGACCCAAGTACCTGTGATTTTCTGTGATGAGTATTTCTACCTTCTATAAACTTGTAGTCTGTCAGTTGAAACTACAATTTAGAACTACACTTCATTATATTTTCTGTTGTAAATGGTAACTGTAATATATTTATTCAATTTCCCGTGCTTTCGCCGGTGGTTATCTAGTATCATGTATGGTACAAACATGCACATGTTCAGTTAAGAGAATGCGTATTTAAGACTGATATAGTGTCAAAAATGGGGAAAAAATTTCACTTATTATCCAATGAATGTGATACTTTAATATAATAATAAAAATAAAAATGAAATCATCGCGGTTGAACCCAATAAATATTATACATAATACTAAAATGGCTAAAGTTGTTATTTTCGAAATGTTTGTCAGACTTAAATTTGTTTGTGTCATCTGCCGTATATAAAGGGAAGGTAATATTTTATCGGACATCCCCCTGAAAGACTATTTCTACCAAGTCTATACATGTAAGTCTAACAGGGATGTGGAGGGGGGGGGTTAACAGAGCGACTCTCTATCTTTTAAACACAAATGTCAAATGTTATCCTTTCGATATCGTGTCATTTATTATTTTCTCCACTCTAGTTTTAAGAAAATGTAAAAAAAAAAATATAAAAAAAACAAGTATATACTGACAAAACGTCAGAAATACTCAAGCTGTAGAAAGTCAATTAAGAAGTATCATTATATCCTAAAATGGTTTTAAGATGAGGGCTAATATTGAGTTCAGTCCTCTGTTGAATAAACTACATGACTGTATACATGAAACAACATTCATATATTGAATTTTATTAGAAAAAAAACATTATTAATCGTTCTTAATTACTTTTTAAGATGAATTTACGTGACACACTTTCAGGAATATTTTATAGAGCAAAGTAACGTTTCCGTTTCTTAATGAAATATTTTTTTATGTAGACATTTAGTATACATGTACTTCAAACTATATACGTTTTTGTATTTTTTGCTTAATGACGTACATCTCAATCAATACATACATCAATTAAGATAGCTTGCTAAAAGCCTGTAGAAAAATTTTTCAAAGTGAAAGGGGGGGGGGGGGCTCCAGGCTCCAAAAAATCCAAGTGACTACAGGTTCATCCATCGTTGCAAACCACGGACAAAATGTACGATCCTCTCCTACTGCGGACCGTGGCTTGAGACGATGGGGTTCATCTATCTGAGCGGCATGTCCAATGCATATTCGGTACGAACCAAAAGAAGTATTTAATACGAGAATTTAACATTGATTTTGTGCTTTTATTTTACTGTCTCTCAAATTACACATCATTTGCAGGCCCGTGAAAAGCAATTTCAGTTGGGGGGTACAGCCATACATTTTCTGGCCATGCATTGTAGAATTTGTTAACGATGGGGTAACCTGCGTCACCTTTCAGAGTCTGCAATGGACTCGTCCAAGGATGCTTCGTCGGCGACTGTAAAAAGTTACCTGAGATTCATACGCAAAGGAAAGCGTGAAATCTCTGTATAGAAACTGTTGCGGCTGCGACGCTTCACTCATTGTTCATTTGCCATAGAAAATAATCCGCTATTTAACACTTAATATCTTTGAATATACAGACGTTTTCAAGATAAGCTTCATTTTTGTTTCTAGAAATATCTTTATGTACAAAAATAATATATTTTTGTAATTTTAAACTGAGTAATTCGATGACCTAGCATCGTTTTAGATAACTCAAGCCCCTCTAGGGCTTGAGTAAAAATAAAAATAATGCCGGATTATAAATGTGAAAAAAAAACTTCATAAATAAAATTTCTATATTTATTAGGATTTGATTTATACAGTGTCACTTCAGTAATTATTCCTTGAAAAGAAAGGTAGGATTAGGTTGTACGATTAATTAAGTTACAAGTTACGTAGTTAGTAATTTATACCATGAAAGAGACTTAATTTCATTTGCTATATATAATTACATGTAGGTACTTTTGAAAGAAAAACCTCACATTTTTTGGCTCGCTATTGTAAAAGATGTAAAGTTATAATAATATAGACTTAATTTTGTCCCTTTTACAAGGTTATTTATAAGGAGATGAATGATAGACTAGGGCAGAACAACCTGAATCCCCGCGATTAAAATATTAGTGTACTCGATAGTCAAAAACGTGAATCCGCGCCTGGCGAGTGAAAGAGAAAACAATCATTTAGATCACGCGTGATTTGTGGGACGTGGTTTGTCGATTTGTCGGTCTAAGGGAAGATAGAATGTAAGTTTGTCAAGTGTCCATCTATTATTTTTGTTATGATTATCAGGTATTTAGCTGGGATTATAACATTTAACATGTTAAAATAGCAAGTTTCTACTTTCGATTTACGATTTACTACCGAACGACTCACGTGACAGCTGAAAAGGTAAATGAAGATGCAGCGTGCTTACAAAATTTAAAGTTAGGATAGACGTACCTAATATTTAGTGCTTGTAATAATTGCAGATAAACCACTTAATTGAATAGAAATTAATGTAATTGCCATTCAAATAATTCGTCTTATCGTCTCTGGCAAAGGACACTGGAGGTTAATGTAAATTTTATAGGCCTATTGAACATTTGTGCATGCATGGTTATCCTTACATTTTTTATCAACATGATCAATATTTAAATAAACTTTAAGTGCATGCGTCTGTCGCAAACGAAAGATGATCGACTTGCTCAAGACTATTTCCTTAAATTATGTTTAATATTACTGTAACAGCTTTTTGACTTTAAAATATTGTAATTTGTATGCGTATTTGACATTTAATATGATTATTGTATAGCAGAATATAGAGATTATTTGAAATCACAGTAAACGTTGAAACAATTGATTTTGAAATGGGGGTGGGGGGGGGGGGGGTGGTGATTGGTTGTGAAATGGGGTGGCAGGAAATTTTGGGAAATGATTTGAGTCAGATTATTTATTTAATGGCCAGTCAAGGATATTATTAATAATTATTTTCAACATGATCAGGGAAGCTTATTTAAATCTTTTTTAAATAAAGTTTGCTAAAATTGCAGCATCTAAAACTTTGACTGGTACAATGAAACACATTAGAAGCATCTTCCATGCATGCCTATAGGACATAGAAGTACTTCAAAAGAAAACTGCTCCAAAAAACTTAACCTTAACCTATGACGCCGACGCCGAGGGTATTACATAAGCTCCTTCGTTGAGGTGAGCTAATCACAAAAAATAAAAAAAATTAAGCATTCGTAGGTAAAGCAGATAAAATGTTTAAATTATGACCTTCAAAACTATGTCTGAGCATATCGGAGATTCACAATTGTACAATGGATAATATAGGGAATTGTGAAATCTTCGAGTGTCAAATAGTCGTCCTCGTAAGAAAGTATCAGTGCTAATGTGATTGTTTCATCTGATACTTATGCCCCCCCCCCCATTCGAAGAAGGGAGGGCATATTGCTAAATGCTGCTGTCTGTCGGTGTGTCGGTCTGTCGATCCATTTAGTTTCCGTTCATTTTCATCACAACCGTTGCACATGCTGAAATAAAATTTAGTATAGTTTTACAAGTTTATCAGTTGAATATCTAGGTCAAGTTATGTTTTGGGTACGATTGCACCTTTTTGATAGAGTTACGCCCCTTTGACTTTGAAAAATCCACTTATTTACAGTTTCCGTTCATTTTCTTTGCAGAAGTTGCACATATTGAAATGAAATTTAGTTTACAGATTTTTCAGCTGAATATCTAGTTCAAGTTCTGTTTTGGGTATGATCGCTCTATTTTTGATAGAGTTATGCTCCTTTGACTTGGAAAAAATCCACTTATTTACAGTTTCCGTTCATTTTCTATGCAGAGATTGCACATATTAATTGAAATTTAGTATACAGATGTTCAGCTGAATATCTAGGTCATGTTATGTCTTGGGTACGATCGCACCCTTTTTGTTAGAGTTATGACCCTTGGACTTGGAAAAATTCCACTTATTTGCAGTTTCCGTTCATTTTCTTTGCAGAGGTTGCACATATTAATTGAAATTAAGTATACAGATTTTTCAGCTGAATATCTAGATCAGGTTCTGTCTTGGGTACGATCGCACCCTTTTTGTTAGAGTTATGCCCATTGGACTTAGAAAAATTCCACTTATTTGCAGTTTCCGTTCATTTTCTTTGCAGAGGTTTAACATATTGAATTGAAATTTAGTATACAGATTTTTCAGCTGAATATTTAGGTCAAGAAATGTTTTGGGTTGGATCGCACCATTTTAGACAGAGTTATGCCCTTTTGGACTTAGAAGAAATCCAATTTTTGGGGGGGGGCATAAGTGTTTTACAAACATCTCTTGTTTAACTTAGTTATCTGATATCCTTTATATTAAAACTATTTTAAAACGCTTTTATTTTAATTTATTTTTTAGGCACAACTGTGGTTTTAAGTTGGACATATGCTTGTTTTGGATAAAGAATTAGTAGTCGTTGGCTTCAGGTATATATAGAAGCATCAAAAAGACTATTTAACAAATCGGCACTTTTTATCGATCCCTTTTTTATTTGATTGATATTTAAATGTTACCTTTGCTTATTCGACTTTTTGTTTTAGAGTAGAAGTTTCCTTCTGTAATCTTATGACGTAATATAATAGCAGACAACCCACGTAAGGCAACAATTAGTAAAATGCACGACTACTTGACATGCACGACTGACTTTCGGCCATATTTGTTTCAATCAAACATAAGCTCGTACTGGAACTACATGTAGTAAACAAGAATCGGTACACCCCTTATTTAAGTATGATTACCACTTAAGTTCGTTGTACAATATGTTGAATATTGTCTTTTTTTCAGGTTGTAGAAAACAAAAGAAATGGCGAGTGCACAAGGCCAAGATGTGGTACGTTGCAATTTATGTCCAGAACCCGTAGAATTTTACTGCAACCCGTGCTCTGTGGAGTTGTGTAGCAGCTGTGTTTTAAGGCACATGATGGATAAATCGAAAAATCATGAAGTTGTTGCATTTGAGAGCAGAAAAATCAAAACTGTGTATCCAGAGTGTCAATCTCACAGAAATAAATGCGAGACATATTGTCGTGATTGCAAGGCAGCCATATGTATCAAATGCGTCATCGGTTCACACAAAGAGCATGACGTCACGGAAATAGAAGAAATAGTTCAATTACAAAAAAAACGTTTAGAATCTGATACAGAGGAATTGGAAGAAAAAGCCTTGCTAAAAATTATGCTTATGAAAGAAAATGTTTCCTCAAGCAACGTTATGATTGACAATGTCCTCTATGAACTGACTGAAAGAGAAAACCAAATTAAGGCAGCGGTTCACAGTGAAGTAGAGAAGATGAGGGAAAAGGTTCGTCTTGTTAAAAAAGGTAATAAAGCTGTCATTTCAGAAAACCAGTCCCACATTTCTGATTTGGAATCCAAACTAAAGCAAGAGATAAAGAAGAATAGACAAATTCTGCAGACACAACAGATACAGGGTATATTGAATTATGAGTGTATTCATGAAAATTTCAAAACAGACTTAAACCTCCAAAAGTGTGTTCATCCACATTATGTATGCACAGAAATTGAAAACGAACATCTAGT